CCACGGACTGGGAGATCGCTTTAGGCTTCTCACCTTCCTCTGGTTGCCCTCGTGCCCCGTGAGCAGTGTTGTCCCAGCTGTATAATTTGGAAGTGATTTACTGGAATTACAAAACCTGTCTCTTTTTTTTTTTTCTTTCTTTTGTTTTTGTTTTTGTTTTTTCTTTTCGGCTTTTGCTCTGGCTGCTTTGGGAAACTTCTGCAGGAGAGATGACAAGAGAGCTAAAACGGAGTGGGGGGTTAGGGACTTGATTTTTAAGCAGCTTGAATGGTTTCTTTCGTTTTTTAAGAGATGCACTTGCCTATGATACTGTCTCCAGTGAAATGATTACTGCTCCATTACTCTATTGATACAATATTGTGCATGCTAGTGTCGTATTTCTATACAGTAGCTTGAAATTTATTAACTTATACTGTAGATGTTATGTATTCCTATGACAAAATAGTCTTCAAAAATTTTTTAAAGTTTTTTAATTTATTTTTTTTTTCTTTTGGGGGTAAAGTTTGCTCTACCAAATAGTGATCGTAACAAACTGATCTGTTATGGATGTTGCTATAGTGACATGCAATTATATATGATTTTGTTTTTAAAAAGGAAAAAAAAGCAAAAGAAAACACCAGTGTTAGCTTAATCTTAATGTCTGGTGTTCGTCATGGTGAAATTATAACTATTACAGTGTAGGAGAACAATGACTGTGTTCTTTGAATGAGCCTTTGTTTGTGCTTTTGTCATGTTATGCAGTGAACTATTTTTAAGGTCTAACCAGTGATTATTTTTCCAACTCCGTGTTTCTGTAAGGAATTATTTCACACACGGACCATTCTTAGCGGTTTTTCCTCAGTGATGGAATATCATGAATGTGAGTCATTATGTAGCCGTCGTACATTGAGCAAATAAACTTACAGATCTGACGTCAGCGCTGCTTAATTACTGCCTGTGTCGAGTTTCTGGGGGGTGGTCATGGGTTGGGGGGCTCTGCCCTTGCTGTCGGGACTTGGGGAGCTGGGGTGGGCAGCCGGGGGTGCCCGGGGCCTGTCTCCCTTCCTTCGGGGGGACGGGGGGGAAGCCGTGACGCCGTTCTCCGCATCCCCCTGGGTCGGTGGTTCCCCTGGGATGGGCACTGGGTGCTCCTGTGGGAGGTGGGGGGGTGGGGGTAGGTGCTCCTGCCTCCCTTCCTCCCTCCCCGATGGTTTTTCCACTCGAAGCCGCGTGCGGTGACTCACGCTGTATAAATACTCCCCTCCCTCGGAAACCGTAAACCGAAAAGGCACCCTGAGTCATGCACCGTGCAGGGGACCCCGGGGGGGTGCAGGATGGACACCCCAGGGAAGGGGCTGGGAACAGCTCCCGGGTGATGG